TCAAAACTGTGGGATCCCGCTTTGAAGCATTAGCGTCGTGGAACGTTGTCCGATGATTGATCATCGTACTTCAGAAACTCCACTATTTTGGCATCTGCAGCTGTAATGCTGGCGTCAGGGTGGTAGAAGAAAGAGTATGAGGAGGCGCTCGGGGAGGGGATCGGTGCATATAGTAGCGGACAACATGTCTTTGTTCATACTGCAGAAGAAAAAGCAGGAGTCAAGCGAGTGGTACTAGTAGAAAGACCATGCATTGATGTATAACTGCTCACATTACCGCTTACTCCTCTTCAGGTAATGGGCAGGCATTTTAAGTTCAGAAAAGTATGACAGAACTTACCAGCCCTAAATTTGATGCAACGACTGCCGAAAGTCACGATTAGTGTAGAAACCCGCCTTGTTAGCACAACATATCTGCTACCAGCAGAAAAAAACTCGGTGTTACTTGGTCACAAACGGCACACTGATGACAATCCTTGCCATATGCGAGGCGAATACGTCTGTTCCAGTAAAGGCCACTAACCAGGCTCAAAAGTGCATGGGAACGGGCTGTGTGCTAGCGGTACGCGAGTGCTGTTTCCATACTCCCTTCCCTAAAAGGTGCAGCAAATTGCATCGATTCCGAGCTCCTGCAGCGAAAAAGTCATTCAGCTGAAGAGGACAATCAGAAGTGAGAAGGCCCGTTTAGCGGTGGTGAGGGGTGTGGCAGGCGCTGTGCCTTCAGCGCGAGGGCGAAATTATGAAGACGGCCTCCAGTGTCACTGCCCACTACACCCCGTATGCCCAATGCTCTTTTGACAGAAGTGAGAGGACTACTACGCCGCGGCCCATTCCTACCACCACGGGCGCAACGGACCGCGTCCCTTGGAAGTGGAAACAGCCGTGAACAGTTTGGCTTCCAATGCGAGCCGCCCCGCTATCATAGGCGCCACAAAACGATGTAGTCGCAAGTTGGCCGCCTGTCACAAAACAAAAACGCTACCCATAACCCATTACGGACGAGTTGACTTACTAACTCAACATGAACAGGCGGAGGTGTGCAGCGGCAAATGTGGGCGCATACTATTAGGTTGGTGCATAAGTTCTTAGCCCTGTGTTTGGCATCCTTCCGTATTTCGTTTGCATGGATGTTGGGATATCGTCATCATGTGTGCGTGACGTGGGCACTGTACTCTTTTATCACACTAGCTATCACTCACCCACCTTGCATTTGCAGGCCACAATGTCGCACAATTTCCACTGTGACAAAATGTACCTGCGCCACTGCCTGGTTTTACTTCACGATTCACAAAAGAAGTTCCACTTTCTCAACTCGATGATCACTGGAGATGAGAAGTGGCAGGGTACAGCATAGGGATAGGCGAAATGTCGGTGTGAGTACGACCCCCCCCCCTCCGAATGGGGTCCACGCCACGACCCCCCCTTTTTTCCCCGTTGGTACGACCCCCCCCCCTCAGCTCGACCGGCTCTTTCGCCGACTGACGAGCGATGGGTATATAGTCGGCGAAAAAGTCGTCGAGCGGGGGGGGTATACAATATATAACACAAAAATTAATACGAATTAATACGACCCCCTTTTTCCACAAGAAAAAATCAACTATCAAAATAAATTTGTCTTACCCCAAATACGACCCCCTCCCCAGCGGAAAAGTACGACCCCCCTATGTGTTTCACACAACGATGCTGTGCCCTGCCTAGTGGGTCCTCTACGATAACCCTGTGAGGAAGCGGCAGTGGGTCGACAAAGGAGGTCAGCACCCAGAAGCCGACCTTCACCCCAAGAAGGTTCTCCTGTCCTGTTGGTGGTCCAGAAGAGGCATGGAGTACTGGGAGCTGCTGGAGAAGGGACAGGACGCATTGGACGCTTTTACACTACGTTAGCCAGCCTGCGAAAATTGAAGATCACGTCGACCTACCGTGGATTGAACCGGAAATCTACTTCCACCATGACAACGCCCCGACCCACTGGACGCCGCCAACGCCCGACCCACTGCAGCAAAGGCGACCAGGCGGAAAGCTTGCGAGAAGTACGGATGGCTGATGGTCGCCCAGCCCCCTACAGCCCTGACATCGCTCCTTCTGACTACTGGCTGTTCAGCCACCTGCAGCGCTCTCTGGACGGAAAAAAGTTCGAAACAAAGGATCAGGTCAGAAAGGCACTCGACGACTTCTTCAAGTCCCAGCCCCCGTCGTTCTGGAAGGAAGGAATCGACAAGCTTGCCGTGCAGCGTCGCGTCGCAGTACGTGGAGGTGATGGTGCATAACCTCTAATCTTAGCGTTGGTTTGCTATTGAAAGATAATTCGAAAAGTCGCTGCGCTAAGAATTATGCACACCTAATATGTGCGGTTCCAAAGTTCAAAATTGGGCTTACCCCTGCAGGTCAACCAAGCTTCCACTTCGATCAACTGGGTGGTAGCACACCTGCTAGGTTACCACCGTGTAACTAACAAAGATTATCGACCTTCATGATACATAGTAAAGGTAACAAGATCAACAAGAGGACTTCTCTGGATACGGGTAGTGCGATAATTTATTCTCACTTCTGAGAACCTCGGTTGAAATAAACGTCACTTGGGCGCTACATTATTTTGGTGCAAAGCTCCCGAGGCATTTGAAACGACAATAGGTATCCTTTTTATCATGAGTGGTCCAGAAAACCACCGACAAGGCAAAGTTCAGAGAGCGCGAAACGAAAAAAAACAACTATCAAAAAAAATCCAGAGACCAACTGAGTACCGAAACTATATAAAAAAGGCCTTAGAAGTTTCTACATGCCGAAGCGACATACTGTTCAACGACTACGAACACTACCCCCTGCGTTGAGTCCCAGGATTCCGTAATCACAATGTGTTCTGAGTGGATTGGAACCATTATCTCTTACGCATCCTTCACCGGAGTCTATCCTGATGAGCCCTTCGGTTCCAAAACAGAATCCTAGCAAATCTCTAGGGCTTGGAGATTAAGAAGTGTTAGTATAGTTCTATATCACTCACGATTCGCAAGTCCTCAGAATGTTGATCAGCATACTTTGCAAAGGTATCGATAGCGAGTTTACCCAACGGTGCAGTGAGAAGTTGATCCGTCCACTCGTTCAGTTGTGTATCATCACTAGCCGATGAACGAATTACATCGCGGCTCTGGATCAAAAAAATTGGAGACACTGTCAAAGTGCCTGCAGAAAGATTACTCCAAAACTAGACTAGATAAGTAACTCCTTACCAGTAACTCCTCCACATCGCACTCTATCACAGGCATTCCCAGAAATTTTGTGTGTTCTGCGATAAGTAGCCGCTGCAAAGGTACGAGTTGACAAAGAAGAGCTGCATCGCGTGATCGACCTTCTCGCAGCACACTTCCTCTGATTGCCGTGTGGAAAGGTACAGATGCGAAATGCTAAAGAGAGACAGTAATCGATTCGCCATGGGTCCGGTCAATAATACTCTATTTTTGCGATCTTGATCAATCATTTCAGATCACACAATTGACTTTCATTGCGTGTACGTGATTCTTCAAAGTCTGTGGTCTATAAGGATGTAAGAAGAGGTAATGTAGTAGCAAGTGGCTGCGCATACTGGATGTGAGGTCCATGAATCAAATCTTGGGTCTCTCACCAGACCAAACGAGCCTCCCAGCTCTTCAGAGTCGAATCACTGGTACTAAAGAGTGCCCGGGACAAAAACACTACACCAGGTGCTGACCACCGCAAGATTTGTGGATATTTCGCATTCAATATGCTTTGACGATGCTGAACAAAAGTGGAACACTTGGCGCTTTCTAGAAAAGAGATTGATCAACGCCAAAACCTTTCAGCATTCATGTACAGAATATGGGATGAAGGATGAGAAAAGGAAAACAGGAAAGATGATATAGACAGATGTAGCACAAAAATTTCCTTTGGCTGAATGGAAGGGTTCAATGGCCTATGTGGATTTCAGTCCTGTGGACAGAGTAAGTCTGCGTCTTCACAGCTAACCACTGCTGAACAATTACCATTTCACAAATGAGGACTGTCTACGGACAACTTGAACACAGTTCCTTTCATCGCGTCGAGTTTGTGTTTTTCTGTGCTCTCCCTCTCTCAGCCGCATGGCACTCTATGGACATTCTGACTTACGGCAAACGAGTTATGGGTATCAGCTACTTTCCAAAAGGTGAGACTTTCAAATTGTTTTACTCTCAAACAAAATACGAAAGGATAAGCCTACATAAGAGAAAGCTAACCTTCACAATTTGCTCACGACTTGGTGCGTCGCTTTTATTGTGCAATGCATTCATAAGTGACAAAGCTGCAAGGGCTACCCTTTCGTCAGATTTCTCCAAATGACGAATAAGTGACTGAGCAGGCACTTCAGACAACACAAGATCTCGAATAACTTCACTGAACGAACAATTATGAAGAAATTTTGGATGTGAATCAATATAAATACTTCTTGATGTCGTTTCCATTTCTCAATGATCTTTTCGTGGGGAAAAAAGCACCCACCTGCTCGCTATTCATAGTCCTGTTCAATCATTTCCTAAAGCAATCAAATGACCCACAATAAATCCTCTTCGTTTGCTCTCCTGAAAAAAAATTTCCAGCTTCCAGTTCTCCAAGCTAGGAAATCATGGACAATAGGAAAAGCTGCTAGCACCATAAGCTGGATGAAATAAAAAATTACCCGTAACCAAGGTAGCAAGCTTGCTGACTAGAACAGGTGAAGCTCTGCTCCATCCTATACCGTCCACTTCTAACTGAAGAACTGATCGAAGAGAACTCAGGCAAAGACTGAGGCACGATTGACTGCTGTAATAAAAAGTCTTTACACAAATTATTATTTTAACATTCGTCAATCGTCAAACTGAGAACACCCGCATCCAACTGAGACCCTCTAGTTGACGCCGTAAGCAGGGTAACACATCGATGAGAATCCTATTACTCCCACCCCCCCCCCCCCCCCATCGGTGACAGCTTTCTTGAGGGAAAACTGCAAAACTTCTCTTGGGAAAAGTGTGGGGGTCGTACTGGAGGAATAAATTTTTGGGCGAAAGCCGTCAACCGCAATTATCCTCATTTCGCTACTGTACCGTGAATGTAACACTGAAGAGAAAGCACCTTAAGAGCGAAAACTGTTTTAGAAACTCCGGATAGTTCTTCAACTCACCTTTCAATTCTATCATCAGCGAGAAGGTCATACAAAAGCTGAATACTGGACAAACCTGTAAGACAGAACATTGAAAATGATTTTTCACTGACAAGAACACGGCGATTCCTAAATTGGACGTTTATATGAAAGAAAAGTCCAATCAATACACCTGAAAGAGCATGCGCGTCAAAAATATAGCTACTGTAATTACATGTAATCAGTTTTGGCCAGCATACAAAACAAGTCCCGGACTAAATATCCCGTAACATGTACACTCCCTTTTGTGGGTCAAAGCTCCCATGACTCATATACGCAAGCATGAAAGAAAAACAAAAAAGGCGTAAAATCCAAGGCAATAAAAGAAAGCCTTGCCACTAAGATTGCTCGGACTTGCCCGCAAAAAAAGCGCCACCGTCAACACAGCAGTAGCCAGTAACATCATAACAACTCATGGTCATATACCGAAGAGAATGACTCCAGGGCATTCAAGGCCCATTCAATGTCATCAAAATTCTCGCCTGCGATTCAAAAGAGCTGCATGAATTCGTCCCACGTAGTGACTCTGGAATTTGTGTACAGTTCATAAAATGTTGCATTAAAATGACACCACAAAAGCAACGGCGAATCAAGCAGACCACGAAGCGGGACAGCCCACTTTTCTTTCGCAAACGCAAGATTCTCATTACCGGGGTTGGCAGAAATCTGTTTACTGCACAAGCGAATGTTTCAAGCTTACCCATGCAACTTTGAAATTTCGAGACCCTAGGTACCATTGACAGGTTCTCGCCATGCTGATTACGAATATAAAGATTATAAGTGCTACGGAGACCTCCCCGACGATTTCTGGGTGGTCGAAACTTGCTTGAAGGGCGATGTTGTCTCACGAGGCGCGCTGATTGTGGCCTAGGGGTGTTCGTGCTCTAGTCGGCGCAAAGTGCGGCTTGACTCCCTACGAAACGACAAAAGTTTGTCTGCTCACTTTGTTTTTCGATATTTCCTCTTGAATCACAACGATCGTCCAAGTTTTGCTTGAAGTCCCAATAAAGGATGAAGTGATCGCGAACGTGAGCTTATTCCAATTTCATTCTGCACGATCTCCTTCTCAACTGTATAGATCGACTACATCGTGCTGCGATGGCATCTTCCCTCTCGTGCTCTCATTATGCGCAGCTTTCCTCAATGTTTCATCGATCTTCGCATCCATCGAAAGCTCTCCGGGTTCATACTCGACAGCGTGGCAATACCACCTTTTTGAGCATGGCTTCCGATAAATGCTTCGATGCTTGACCGTTAACCACAAAATGTGTCGTCTAAATATATTATAAAACAGTTATCAAATTCAAAAATGGCCTACAATACTCTCTTCTCCGTGATAGACCGAATGCCAAAGAAAGACATTTTTCCCTCCCACACATCAGTTGTGCTGGAGCTGTCTTTATTCCTATCATCAAAGCAATCCCAATCTGATTCGACGTAAAAGTCTGATTCCGAGCTCTCATCTGTGTCGACTTCAACTTCAGCAGCAACAGCGTCCCGAAGTACAGCGGCAAACCTTGTAACGAGTTTCTTCTCTTCCCGTGTTGCAAAACTGTTTTCTCCAGGTGTTCCGAACTCATCGGTAAGTAGAGCGACTACCCCCTGCAGGAGAGGAGGACATGGTTAAAGGCAATTCCCCGACCAACATCTTCATAGGTGCCATTACAGTTCAAAAAAAAGAATTGCCGTGTGTTTTGCTGACTTACTCAACGAAGAGGAAGTCTCGAAACTGCGCCCGCTCAATAAGACCCTCTTTATTGCTATTGTCCTGATCACCGGACGAGCATAAGATGATCAAGATCAATTGTGGTCTGCAAAAGGCGACGATACAGTGAGTGGAGAGGAGAGGGACCAGAAAACGGCCGGTGAGAGAGCACAGTGGCATCTTCACTATGACATCGTTCGACGCAGAAGCCCAATGGGCCTAAAATCGATGCGTTTTGCTTTCTGGTTGCTAGTTTTCGACTTTTTTGTACAGTACAGCCTCTGCGGGTGCCTACCTGTTCACCCTGCACAATCCAGAGGTTTTAGCCTTAATTTATCGCGAACCGTGCCTTTAATGGATACAAATCAATAACGCAGCAGTGAGTCGACTTGGTTTGCCACGTCAGACATTTGAACTACATGATCTGTTTCGCCCTCTACTCGAAGAAGTATCGAAATTTTGAATAAAAAAGTCCATCAGAGAAAGAGCAAAAACTTCGTCGTCTGTGTGGAGCAAACCCCATGCTCCCGCCTACAGAGACATTTACCACGAGGCCACGGTGCCTCTTGCCGGAGCAGAGTCAGCGCGCCTCATGTGACAATATCGCCTTCAAGCAAGTTTTGACCACCCAGAAATCGTCGGGGAGGTCCTAGCACTTTTAATCTTCATATTCGTAATCAGCATTCGAGGCTCTATCGATGTACCTAGGTCTCCATTCAAAGTTCCATGGGAAGTTCAAACCATTCCCTTGTGAGTACCGAAAAAGTACTTCTACCTTCTTCAGCCTTTAGTAAGTTCTAAAGAAGTGAGAAGCTGTATAGAACACCTCCGGAGGAAAGCAGGCTTAGAAACACTTCCGTGCTTCCGAGGAAAAACCCTACAAAAGAAAAAGAGAGGGGGGGGGAAAGTTAAACCATCAAATCCTTTTCGCTCCCCACATTATGCATCTAACTTATGATTCAACCAGTCGGAGCGCCCGGCTGACGCCGAGCTCTCCTCCTTCCCTTAGCCCGGCTTCGCCAGGCGCACATCATAACGGGAATGGAATTTGTTAATTGCCTGAGCTGCTCATATTGCGCGGTAGTGGTCGAATCATAATAGACAGAGTAACCTAGCGAAATCTGCACCCCTCATATTTGCAGAAGGCGTGCTGGTTTCGGCCATAACGCCCATTCTATACGTAGATCGTAGAAATATATAGGAAGTACAGTCGGCCATGAGCGCAATATCAATATGAGTTGCACAGTAGATGAACGAATTCCGTTTTTATTACCTGCATCGCAACGCCAACGATGAGCGATTAACTTTCGTTCATTTTCTAGTGCTATCAGAGAAGTGATGGCTGGAGGAAAAGTTCGCTTACTGAGAGGCTTTTTTTTTGGCAGTGTAGTGGTCAGAGATGTCGTGAGAATGTCCCCTTATCTTTACTTATCAATTGATAAAATTGCTTGTCACCCGTCATCAATGTCGCTATCACTAAAACTCCATAATTTCGTGGTGTAGAGGCTCCAGCATTTGATTGAACAACAACTGCATCGTTCTCTATCAGGCCCTATCAGCTGTTATCATTTCTGTCACCCGCCGTCGCATTCTCCACCTTCCCCTTGATATCATTTGCTGAAATCAACGCCTAACTGATGCTGTGTCCCGCGTTATGAGTATGTTGTCCTTTCCACTCTAATTCCCTTATCAAATCTTATCAGCAGCTAGCAGTTCTTGTCACCCCCAATTCCTTCTTCGTGCTATAAAAGCCTATATCATACCTTGGAACAAACGCCCCAGTGTTCCAGTTGGACCGCCCGGCTCTGCTACCTTCCCTTGCACATGCTCAGATCCGGACGAGCACACGTCCAGCTGCCAGCAGCTCGTGCAAGGCTCGGAGTGTACCGAGGTTCTCTTATATAGGGGAGGCTGTTATCACCATCAGAGCATTGGATCGGCACTTCCGCTCCGATCGGTTACCTGTTTGTCTAGCGGTCGTTTTCG